ACACACATAATATATATATATATATATATATATATATATATATATATATATATATATATTTATTATTTATGTATGAAACAAATATAAATACATATATATGTATATGTATACACACACACACATACACATATATATGTGTGTGTGTGATTGTATACACACACACACACACATACACATATATATATATATTATATATTGTTTGTGCTTGTATACACACACATACGTTTGCACATATACATACGCGTTCAAGCCACGTAGCAGCTGTAATCAAACCCCTTCCCGGTAGCAAAGGAAAAAGAGCCTTATGTTCCCTTGCAACATAAATAATCAAACGTATTAATTTAGCCAAGTCGTCCCTTCTCTTTTCGCTGCAATCACATCCACCTGCTCTTGCAATTAAGCCAATGAGGTTTTTATTTTTTCAAAATTATTAGCTTGATTTTTTTATGTTTGTTTTCCTTTTTTACGATGTTATTGTATTTATTATTATTATCTTTCTGTTTTTTATTTTTCTATTCTTAGCCTGTGGTTTATATATATATATATATATATATATATATATGTATATATGTATATATGTGTATGAATGTATGTATATATATATTTTCCTTTCTTTTCTCTCTCTCTCTCTCTCTCTCTTTTTTTTTTTTGGGGGGGGGCTAACAATTATCATTTTCTTTATTTTGCTGACCGTTCCCTGTTGCCCACGAATTCTTTTCATGTTACTAGTCTGTTTTTTTCCTTATTTATTTATTTATTTTTTTTCTGCCTTTTCTTTAATAATATTTTTTTTCGTCTTTATTGAGAATTATCTCTTCTCGATTTTTATTTTCCTTTTTATTGGTCTGCCCTTTTAATTTGCTTTTCGTAAATAACGAGTTTTTTTTTCTCTCTGTCTTTTTTACTTTTTTAGTGACAATTACCTCTTCTCGGTTTATTTCTTTCTCTCTTATCAATCATCCCTTTTATCTTGCTTCCATTAAATAACGATATTTTTATTTATTCTCTGTCTATCTATCTTTATTTTTAATTGATAGTTACCCCTTCTTGTTTTTGTTGTTGTTTTTTCTTTATTAGTTTTCCTTTTATATTGCCTTTTTAGAAATGACGATGTTTATTTTTTGTCTTTCTCTTTCTTTATTATTATTATTATTTTTGTTTTCCTTTTTTGGCAATTACCTCTTCTCATATTATGTTCATTTCTTTCATATCAATCTACCTTTAATCTTGTTTTTTGTTTTTTTTTAATAACGATATCTTTAATTCCTTCTTTCTCTCCCTCTCTCTTTCTTTCTTTTTAATTTAGTTATTGACAATTCATGTTTTTTCTTTCTTTCCTTTCATATTAATCTGGCCATTTTCTTTTTTAAAGTAACGATGCTTTTCATATATTTTTGTCTCTTTCTTTCTAATATATATTTATTTTATTGACATCTACTTATTTTTTTTTATTTTCTCTCATATTAATCTACCCATTATTTTTGCGTTTTTAAAAATAACGATGTTTTTTATTTATTTTTCTCCCTCTTTCTCCCTTTCTTTCTCCCTTATTGACAATTACCTCTTGTTTTTTTCATATCAATCTGCCCATTTTTCATGTCTTTTTAAAACAATGATGTTTTTCATTTATTTTTCTCTCTCTTTCTCTTTTCTTTCTTTATAATTTTTCGTATTGACAATTCTTCTTTTTTGTTTTCTTTTCTTTCATATTAATCTGCTCATTTTTCCATGTTAAAATGACAACGTTTTTTCAATTATTTTCCTTTCTCTTTCTCTTTCTTTCCTTCTAATATTCTTTTTATTTCATTTCATATTAATCAACCCATTGTTCTTGCCTTTTAAAAATAACGATACTTTTAATTAATTTCTCTCTCTCTTTCTTTTTTTTATTGACAATTACTTCTTCTCGCTCAAGCCAAGATCCCGGCTTGCGATGCTTTGATGGCCAGGCGGTCGATGGGAGACAAAAAGCCTTTGGATTCTGGGCTCCTCTGTGGGAGACCCGGTGTGGTTTGGTGCAGAGAGGGGGGGAAGGAAGGAGGGAAGGAGGAGGAAGGAGGAAGAAAGGAGGGGGAGGAGGAAGGAAGGAGGTGGAGAGGAGGTGGGGAGGAGAGAGAGGAAAGGAAGGAGGAGGTGGGTGGAGGAGGGGGAGGAAGGAAAAGGGGGGGAGGAGAAGAGGGAAGGTGGAAGGAGAAGGAGAAGGAAAGAAAGGAGGGGGAGAAGGAAGGAGTGGAAGGAAGGAGGAGGGTGGAGGGTGGAGGAGGTGAGGAAGAAGGGGGAGGAGGAAGGAAGGAGGTGGAGGAGGGAGGGAGGAAGAAAAGAGGGGGAGGAGGAGAAGGGGGAAGGAGGGGAGGAGGGGGAGAGGGGAAGGAGAAGTAGGAGGGAGTAGGAGGGTGGAGGAGGGGAGGAGGAGGAGGAGAAAGGAGGAGGAAGGAAGGAGGAGGGTGGAGGAGATTGGAGAGGAGGAGAGGAGGTGGAGGAGGAGGATGGAAGAAGAAAGGAGGGTGGAGAGAGAGAGGAGGAGGTTGGAGAGGGAGGAGGTGGAAGAAAGGTGGGAGGAAGGGAGGGGATGAAGGAGGAGAAGGAGGTTGGAGAGAGAGAGAGGTGGTGGGAGGAGGGAGGAGAGGAGGAAGGAAGGAAGGAGGAAGAAGGAGGAGGAGAGGGAGGAGGAGGCGGAGGAGGTGGAGGAGGAGGAAGAGGAAGAGAAGGAAGGAGATGAGGAGGAGAAGTGAATGGAAAGAAGGAAAGAAGAAGTAAGTAGTAAACGCAGATAAAAATGGAAAAGAAGAAAAAAAACAGGAACTGGAGAAAATAAAAAAGAAGAAAAACGGAAGAGAGAAAGTAGGCAAGAAAAGGGGAAAGAAAAGAAGACAAACAAACAAACAAACAAAAAACAAAGCCGCCCAACTGCAGACACCTTCACCTGCCCTGACCAGCCAGAGCCGCCTCGTGATAGCTCTCATCCTGAGGCGAAAGTCAATGGCGAGTCTTCCAGATCTCACGCTTTAAATATTGGAATAATAGATAAACAATAAAAATCAACAAATGGATGAATAAGTGAGCAAATGTGTAAAAGACCAATGATTTGGGAATGATAAATAGAGAATGAAAAACAACGTGGATGAATAAAAAATTGAGCAAATGTGAAAAATATCAATAATTTGAACTGATTATAAAAGTGAGCAAATGAATCCATTTATGGAATAAATGAAAGGCAATTAAGGTGTTTATGAACAAAACTGTAAAAAATGAAAACGCATATATGAATTAACAACAGAGAAACTATTCACGTATTTAACCCTCAGTCGTAAAGTCAACAACAACAACCACAACAAAAAAACAACAACAAACTCACTATATTACTTCTCAAAACGCTCGCTTGTGTAAATACGTATATATATATACTTCTGCGTATTTATATATGTGGATGTTTACATTCGCACGGGCGCTTCTTAGTACACGGGCATGTGAATCGACCACAAATCCGAACACTTGTGCACCTAACATCACTTAAGGCATTTACCGCAGTCAGTAACAAGAGAGAGAAAATACTGGACGCAATACCTGGGCCTGCTTACCCCTCGCCCCCGCTGTGTCTATCGCTGTTAAAGGGAGATCTACCCGTGTTTGGTCCTTCCCTCTCCCAATGCCACTTCTCTGGTCCTTCCCTCTCCCAATGCCACTTCGGGACTGGATTCATTCGCTTTCTCTTTTGTTGGGCGCTCTGTTCGGGTTTTGTGATTTGGGTAAAAAAAAAAGGGGTATGTTTTTTTTTCCTCTCTCTCTCTCTCCCTTTCTCTCTTTTCTTCTTTTCTTCCCTTTGTTTGTTATGATTCCGTCGGGTTCGATTCGCATCCACGTGTACACAGATGCGTCCGTGCAAACATAGACATCCACAAGTATAAACACACAACACAAAGTATATAAACAAACGGGCGCAAATACATACACTAGAGAGAGAGAGAGAGAGGAGAGAGAGAGAGAGAGAGAGAGAGAGAGAGAGAGAGAGAGAGAGAGAGAGAGAGAGAGAAGAGAGAGAGAGAGAGAGAGAGAGAGAGAGAGAGAGAGAGAGAGAGAGAGAGAGAGAGAGAAAGAAAGAAAGAAAGAAAGAGAGAGAAAGAGAGAGACAGACAGAGACAGAGAGACAAATAGCGAGAGAGAGAGAGAGAGAGAGAGAGAGAAGAGAAAGACCTAACCCCCTCATCACCTAATTCTTGTGACCCCAAAGACCCACGACCTTCTCACCCCTTCCCCTCCCTCTCCCTCTCCCTCCCCATCCCCTCCATATCCCTTCCCTCCGCTGCTTTCCCTCCGGCCTGTGCTTCCTCTGCGTATGTGCTGCCCTCCACCTAACCTTCAGAGTACAAGCTGTAGTGGTATAGGCCCGTCGGCTAGACTTCTGCTCTCTCCCCTCCCTCCCTCCCTCCCTCCTTCTCTCCTCTGTCCCCTGCCTCTTCTCTCCCTCCCTCCCTCCCTTGGTTCTTCCCCACTTCCTCCTCCTTCTCTTCTCTTAAATGCCAACCACTTCACCAGTCCTCCTTTCGTCCTCTTTCCTCCTCCTCCCCTCCACTCCTTCCTTCCTCCCCAACCACCTCTTCTCTCCTCCTCCACCTCCTCCTCCCTCTCCAGCACCACCACCACCACCTCTCTCTCCTCCTCCTCCTCTCACCTCCACCTCCTTCTTCTCCACTCCCCCTTACCCCCTCTCCTCCTCCTCCTCTTCCACCACCACTTCCCATCCCCTCTCCTCCCCCTTACCCCCTCTCCTCCTCCTCCTCCACTTCACACCACCCTTCCCTCCTCCCTCCCTTCCCCTTCTCCTCCTCCCTCCTCCTCCTCCTCCCTCGTTCCACTAAATTTAAAGACGAAGGCCGAGAAGGAGCTCCAACCACCTTCAGGAGTTGGTTTTCCGACCGAGTTCAAGTGGCGAAGATAGATAGATAAGAGAAAGCTATAGATATAATGGTAAACTTTTTTGGTAGTTTGATTTATATATTCGG